TATGCAAATAGATTCTCCGAACTCATGCCTATATACTAGCCTTCGCCGAGAAGAATTCTGAACAATTTTTGGCTATGGCCTTTGCAATAAAAGATCAGAGTACCCAGACCGACCTCTCGGATTTGAGGGACTTTATTCCTCATCCGCAGGGTCGGCCCTTTATGCCCTCTTCCAACCTGGTACCTCGGCTGGAGTGCAAGAGAACGCAAACTCCAGCCAGGTTCCCCCAGGTGGATTCCCCTATGGCGAAGCCACCAAAACCAAGGGTGAAGGAAACCCCTATCCCTTTCCTGCCCTCCAGCGTTCCCCGACCTGCCAACCCCGAGCCTGTTGCGGAAGAAAAAAAGGCTTCCAAACAACAGCTCCGCAGAGTGAGGAAACGCATCGCCAAACTAGGGGCAAGGATAGCAGAAAAAGAAGAGGAGATTAAGCGGCTAAGGGAGGAAGCAACCACCAGCGCCAAAAATAAAAATAGATTGTAAATAAATGAAAAAAAAAATAAATAAAAAAAATAATAATAACAATAAATCAGACACCATCAGTCACATTAGAATGGCTCGTCCGATTCGCCATTCTAATGGGGGGGCTATGTAACGGTCCAGTCTGATTTGTCTCCTATTTTCCTCTGCAAAACGGAAACCCGTCACACACGAGACTATTAGAGAAAAGCGGTAATTGAGCGTAGGCGCTTTTCACACGTATATGCTAATATGTTAGGGCAACTCTGCGAAAACATTACCATATAAGGAGCGTGACGTCACGACCGTGTGAAAATTTATTGTTTACAACAGAAAATCGTCAATTATAAAGTTTTTTAAACGAACAAAAGTTACATCTTAGTTAAATTTGTTGCGCTAATCCTGAATTTCATGTTGATATAACTCTCAAATCGATATTTGTTAGTCAAATCTAATCTACAAGTTAACATTGTTAGTTATTTTGCAATAAAGAACAATATTGTTCTTTCGAGTATACGATTACAATCTCGACGTATTGAATCAGAAAAGCAAGAATTTGACACTTTGATAACTAATTATTCCCTAAGTTATCAATAAATAAACAATTTATAATTTTTTTAAACAATTAAAATAACACTGTTAGATAGCAAATCGATCATACGTATCTGTAAAATTGATGATTATGATTGTCACTAATTTGCTGATTTTTAAACTGCTAAAAAAGAAATTTGCAAATCTGTTTTTTAATTATTATTCAAAATTAGAGAGCAACATTAATCATCTTTTATTTGAATAACATTCTTCTAACCACAAGCGATTTTTTCATGTAAAAATTTTCCATAATCTTATTGTAAAAACGGCGTAATTTGATTATTAAATTATATAACTTATAACTTTGAGAGGCGATTTTTCCTCGAGATGCAATTTATGTTAAAAAATTCATCTTTTCTAGCTTAATTTTTTAAATCGCATAATTGCAATTTCGATCGAGCCATTTTGCGATAAGACGTGTACAAAATTTGCGTCAATGACAAAAATAGCGTTGTAGGGGCTACCAAGCGTAGAAAGGAGCCCATTTCGCATGTATAAATTCGCTCGTCGCTGCGGCAAGAGAACTCATTTTCCTACCTTGCTTAGCAGCGCGAGCACTGTGTAGAAATAAAGCCTCAGCTATTTCCTGAGACGAATTTCTTTTTCAGTGGTTAGCCTGTTAAATTCCTTTCCTACAGATCTCTAAGCGCTCAACTCATGAGACTATCTCTCTCATGAGAAAAAAGCAGCCTTAGAAATCTTCCCTCCTGAAACATATTTACTGTTGAGAAATAAAATTGAGCAGTGATCGCGGCGCTGTCGGGCCTCTCCCCGATAGATACGATTGCTCTCAATTGCATTTCGAAGCAGCTCATCGAGTTGGTAAGCCTCGTGGTTTGCCACTCGAAAGATTTTCTTTTGTTATTTAGATTGCGCGCGTGTCAACTTCTTGCTTTTCTCGGAGACGTAATTGCGAATTCAATGTAAAGAGTCCGAACTATTATTTTCATAACGCGAGATAGATTCAAACATTACAATATATGTACATGACCAACACTGTCAGTAACACGGTTTTCACTCACTACATCGGATCAAAAAAAAAATCACAATGGATCAAAGAGTTTGCATAAAATTTTGTGTAAAAAATAGAATTAAGTACTTCAAAACACTTGAAATATTGATAGTGGCATACGGTGAGTCTACTTTAAGTTGAAAAAATGTTTACAAATGGTATAAGCTCTTTCAAGATGGCCGAGAAGATACCGACGACAAACCTCGCTCTAGACGCCCCAGCACATCAATAACCGATGAAAGTGTTGAAGAAGTGAAACAAATGGTGTTAAAAATCGTTGAATCACTATTATAGAAGCGGTTGAAATCTGTTGGCTCGCGACATGCAATTTTTTCCGTAATTTTGGGCATGAGGTGTGTAGCAACAAAATTTGTTCCAAAACTTTAATTTTGAATAAAACGACCGTCGAATGAACATCGCACAAGGGCTGTTAAACGACGTCAATGATAATCCTGATATACTCAGAAGAGTCATAACTGGTGACAAATCATGGGTTTATGGTTATGACATCGAAACTAAAGCTCAATCGTCCCAATGGAAGACTCCAGAAGAGCCAGGATAGAAAAAAGCACGTCAAATTCGATCAAATGTCAAGGTTTTGCTCGCTGTTTTTTTTTATTATCGTGACGTAGTACATCAAGATTTCTTACCACAAGGTCGTATGATCAATAAAGAGTATTACCTTGAAGTTATGTGCCGTTTGTGAGAAAAAATACGAAAAAGTCGAATAATTCATAGATTTTGCATCACTATAATGCACCTGCTCACTCATCATTGCTAATGTCGAACTTTTCGGCAAAAAAAAAACCACAATCATAACTCAAGCACCATATTTACCGGATATGGCCCCTTGCAACTTTTTCCTATTTTGAAAACTTAAGAAATCCATGAAAGGACGAAGGTTTGGAACGATTGAAGAGATAAACAAAATCGCTAAAGAACTCAAAGCTATACCAGAAAGTGTTTACCAGAAGTGCTTCGAGGATTGGAAAAAACGTTGGTACAAGTGTATTATATCTGAAGGGGATTTCTTTGAAGAGGACAATATAAATATTGATGAATAAATAAATATTTTATAATAAAAGATTTGAGGACCATCAAAAGTAAGTGTTGAAAATCTTCTTTATCCTTATCCAGAGCTTTGACGAGTTGTTTTATGAGACCAAGTATGGTATGAAGGGGTGAAAGCCAAATTTTTGAAGGATCTATTAAAGTTTTACGGATGTTGTTTTTTAAACCTGAATTAAAATCTATTTTTCTTGGTCATTCTTTCTGTACATAATGATTTTTTTCTACCTTCACTATCCCACAGATCTAAGAAACAGATATTTTTTTTTATAAAACCTGACTACTATCTCAGAATCATAGTTGAAATTTTCAGATCAACACAAGCTTTCCAATGATGTTCCGCGTAATTAATTTTCTCCAATACTATTTCCAAATTCTCTGATATTTCCTTCAACTTCGTTGAATTAGCTATCAGGATAAGTGAAAGCAAATTTCTATTGTGTAAACGTACAGCTTTTAGGCTTTGTTAGGAAGAGTCAATAAATAACCACTCTTTCTCTTTATAAATATTAGATTTCAATTAATTCATTAATCTTCTAAGATTTGTACAGAATTTCATAGAGTTTTCTGTATCTTTGGCAAAGAATCTACGAAACTTCTTTTTTCTGTTCCGATAAAAATAAGCTTTAGTCCCCGTGAACAACGAATTTTTCCTTTTTCAATACTGTGGCTAGATACTCAGCTCCATCTTTGGATTATCTCAAATATCTGATTAAATCATCCAACTTCTTTTAATCGAAAATTTCTGAGTTCTCATTCTTAATAATACTTGGTAAATATTCATCTTCTTCGCAATCACTTTGACTGTCGCATCTCTTACCTGAGCATTCACTAACTTCCATTTTCTTTGGTGCAAATGACTTGTCAGCTTCGATAGATTCTTAGACTATATTAGAAATTGGCATTTCGGATATTGTTGGTTATTTTACTGATGATACGTCCTTATACAAGTTTTAGATTTTGTAGATGCGTGAAAGTCATACGAGTATGTATTGGTCATACAGATATAGCAATTCTCTCGACACGATGATTCGCACCATATCATAGACTGTATAAATATGAGCTGATCTTGATTCTGATTTTTCTGCTATTGCAATAACATTGTCTTACAGTAATTACAAATCATGTAAGATATCTAGACTATATTTTGACTGACAACCTTTAAATCAATGCATTCTCTCTAATAGGTATGAATTTTTAAACGACATTTTCCTAAATTTAATCTTAAAATGCCTTTAAACTAACGTACTTAGGTCAAACTGACTGCCGGTTTGGATTCAGCGCGTCAAAATATATGTATGCCGTTTTTTATGCAAATCACTTATTTTTTTATGTGTGTCTGTCTAATCAACAAATCAATCTATTTTTATAATGATGAGCATTTACGTTACAGTCTTTAATAAAAGTCGTTACATTATAAATGCACTATTCAATCGTCTAATTAGACAATATTACAAAAGGATTAACTTTTAAGACCAAGTTCAAGTCTCAATTCTATCAATGTGTATTTGAGTTGATAAGGATATACTAACGCATAAAATTGATTATTTTGAAATAGAATAAAATATTCTTTTCTTTTACAGAAACCTTTTAACACTTTCGAAAATATCGTAACACAAATTTTCAAATTATAGTATATTGAAAACGATTGAAAAAAAATTAATTTCATTCCCTTTATATAGATCAAGCTAATTTACATAAAAAATATATAATAATAATATTATTTTACTATATAATAAGGTGAAATATTTACATTAAATGATAAGATATTCATATGAACATTTGCCTCATACGAAAACTCCAGATTTCCAATCATTAATATATGTTCAATTATTTATATTTGTAATCTAAGAAAACAATATAACTTACAGTTTGATAAAAGAAATGGAAGTACGAGAGCAGAAGTTGTACATGATATGATACAAGTAGCGAATATTGCTGATTTGGTAAGTAATTTATTTCTAAATTCATTGACATCGTTAAAACAGTGTAATAAGAACATATAATAAATATAATTTATATACGTATTCCTCCCTCCGCCGCCCAGCCCCTACACGTTTCAAGAAAGGTAAACTTCTGCAGTCGAGTAGGCATGGTATCATACAATTTTTTTATTATACTCAAACTTTTTCTTCAATCTTCAATAGTTTTGTATGTTATATTGATTTCCTTGAAAAATTTTTTTCCAGCCGTTTTTGTTGAACATAATATTGTAATCATAAGAACAATCAAATTCATAGCTATTGGATTATGTTTTTTATCAAAAATATATGTTATAATTGAATAACACTACTTATTACAGCTACAACGTCAACTAAGTCTACTAAAAAAATATAAATGTAATTTTGTACCTGCAATGAACTGGAGAACGATGTAAAATGACTTATCTACATTAGACGAGTAGATTAATACAATTAATAAGTAACTGTTATATATACTGTATAATATCTATTGTAGTGGTTCCCATATTCCCACTATCAATGATGTTGCTTTTGAATAGTAGAAAAAATGTAAGGTACATAAATAGTTTTATTTAATTAAGCAATATTAAGTGGAAACGTGCAAACTACAAAAGATTACGTACTACATGAGACCAAATTCCTAGTAAAAAGCAAGCGCAACTACCGGGTTATTGCCTAAGCTAATCAGTAAATAGATTTTCAGTACTTCAATAAGATAATAACCAAACTCAAAGCCAGGAAAAGAATCCAGAAAAACCTAAGGAAACAAACTTCATACAAAATAAAGCACCGCCAATATTTGTTTATAATGTGCAGAATATACGCCCCCTGACGGTTACACTTTGAAAGTGCTAGAGCATCCAACAAAGTGAAAATTCAACATAAAACGCTTGAAAAATACCTGCTAATTATCAATGCACTAAAAGAAAAAAATACTCATTTCTACACTTATCAGCGCAAAGAGGATTAAGATTTCAAAGGCATTTTAAGAAATATGCATCTATCAGTCAACATTGAAGTCATTAAATAAGTATTGAAAAATACGGACACGCAGTGATAATTATTCGCAATATGCTACACCAAGTCACAACATTTCCGATTCCTTTATTTACAGTTGAAATATAAAATGACCACAAGAGCTAAAATATATACAAAATTAAGAGATTACTGAACAGAGTGATTGAATTTGAATATTTAGTAAGTACAAAGAGACATCTCCCAGAGTCAAAATTACAAAGAATTTGGGCACATTTTTTAAATCAGTCAATTTAAACAACAGATAAGTTCAGCCTAATTTAAATTCAGTTGAAAACAGAGTAAGAACAAATATATTATATGCAAAAGTAACAGCTAATAAAAACGTACAGATTATGACAGAAGAATCAAAACAAACAAATAACCAGCCAAAAACAAGTAAACGCTTAAAAAAAAAAGAAAGTAAAAATAAACTCGAATACTTGACGGAAAAATTAATGCGAAGAATGGACACCATACTAAATCTGCTAATGTTAAAAGCAAATTAGCTTAATGAGTATATTGAAAATAATTATCTCGAATGCAAATAGATTTACGCACAGACATCTCAAACTAAGAGCATTTCTAATCCACGAAAATGTTGACATCATGTCAGTATCAGAAACACAGTTTACTAGCAAAAGCTTTCTTCACATTCCGAATGACACAGTACATAAAACAAATCATCCACTAAATAAAGCACATGGAGATACTGCTGTTATCATCAACATAAAAATAAATCGTTACATTCACAAATACACTAGTGAAACTTCTCTGCAAGCAACTAGTGCAATCATAAAAGATAACAAAGGCCCAATTACAGTGTTAACTGTTTATTGTCCTCTACACAATACTATAACAAAAAGAAATTGGACAGATTTTTTTTTCTCTAGGTAATCGTTTCATAGCAGATCGCGATTATAATGCAAAGAACCCATGGTGGGAATCAAGCTCACAAACTGCAACCCCTAGAGGAAAAATACCGTATGAAATACTACGAAAAAACAATTGTATTCTAATATCTACTTTAGATCTGACATACTGGTTTAAATTGTAACAACGTTGTCGCGTCACCAATTCTTTAAAAAAGGCGGATAAGAGAGGCGTTTTCGCCCTGAATGATTAGAAGGGAGAGGAGGAAGGAGAATAGGTCAATAAATAATTTCGTTCAAAAATTTTCGAAATTTAACAGAAACTTACTATTAGCATAAACCACACAAACAATGTCGCAAGACTTAATACTAACACAAACAATCAATACTACATCAACTAGCATGTTTTACCGCTAAAAAATAATACCAAGAAAGCGCGGACCTTATCATTACTACTCTAATGACGAATAAGTCGCGAATCGCTCAGCAATTGCGTCGCCTTGACAATCTGCGTTTTATAAGAGCCATTGCTCGTACAAATAATCTCACAAGTCATTGTCAGTAGCCGGCGATTAAACGTCTGGCTACCAAGTATTGTCGTACTTAACCTACCAGTAAACCCGAGAAAGAGAGAAAGAGAGAATAACGAAGAAAGTAAGATAACCTAACCTTTGTATCCCTGGCTTGCCGAGTGATGCAGATATCGTTATAGGGCCAAAGCACGAAGGGATGCCGTCGTCCTCGTGATAACTAGGCGTCTATGCGGAGTCAATGGACGTACTATCCGCGTCTCCTTCATGCTGTTCCTCCCGACGAAGAGTCTCTCTCTCCACAGGCCGATAGACCATATTGAAATGGTATTAAAACTTTTAATTCACTCTCAAATAAAGCTCTAAATGAAGGATTACCAAGAAAAATATATCACACAACTAGATCAAGTCAAGACCAAATACTTCTAAATGAAGTAGTTGAAGAAATTAAGAAACTACTGTATCAGGAAAAAAACTTTCAAATGTAAAATAACTTAGAGAACTGAGGCCAACAGAAGAAACGGACTACTCATTATAGAAAGCCACCAGGAGACTTAAGCGACCAAAGTCATTTATCCCACCTAGCACAAAACCATGCGCAAGTTGGCTAGATCTGATGAAGAAAAAATTCATAATTTCACCAACCATTTATATACCATTTATATAGCATTCAATTCTTACCAAAGAATAATTAATTATCGAACATGAAAATGATGCCTTACTCGAAGACCTAAGTGCCTAGGACAGTACATCTATTGCATCAGTCAAAATAAAAGGAGTATTACTTGTAATCAAAACCATTAAGAATAGAAAAGCATCGGACTTTGATAACATTACAGGAATAATGATCAAAAAATTACCTAATATCGTAATAAGATATACAGGATGTCCAAAAAGTTCCGGGATACCCCAGTAAGTCCTGAGATATAACTATTTCCGAGGAGATTAAGATCATTCCTGTAGTAGCTTTGAACGAGGAATCTAGTGGTGACCTGGGTTTTGACCTTAAGCTTGACCTTCAAGGTCATTTCAAGGTCAACTTTTTTTTTCAAATGGGAACCCTTTTTTTGACAATGGTAATTGAAAGAGCGGGAAATTTTACGTCCAAAACGGTATTTTTTAATTTTTTTTCATGGCCTTGAGAAGGTCGATTTAAGGTCAAATTCTTGAAAAACTGCCTAAAAGCGTTTTTTTAATTTTTAAGATATCGAAAAATAACCTCTACAAAATTTGTTCAGAACAGAGTGGGCCACTCAATGCACCAAAAACCTTTGACCTTTAATCTCATTTTGACGGTCATTTCAAGGTCAAAGTGTTTTTTGTAATGGAAACCCCTCTTTTTGACCCCGGATTCGCACATAGCGCGAAATCCGACGTTTGGATAAGGTATTATGTTGAGTTTCGATTGATCCACGACGTTCCTCGCTAAGGTCATGTGAAATTTAGATCCTATATTATTCGCGAAACATTTATAAAATGTTTCGGGCTAAATTTATTAAATTCTATTGGGAGCATGTTACAGTGACTTTATCTTTGACCTTCAAGATCATTTTAAGGTTATTTCAAAGTCACCTTTGATTGTTTGAATAATAAAGTAACGGGTTATCCAAATTGAAAGTCAAGTTGTTTTCAATGAAGAGCAAGCAGAGACATAGGTACAGTTTTTTTGCCGGATAAGTTTTTTCCACTCACTGCGTTTTGAATGTTTCTTTCTGATTTCGCGATATGTGCGAATCCGGGGTCAAAAATAGGGGTTTCCATTACAAAAAACACTTCGACCTTGAAATGACCTTCAAAATGAGGTTAAAGGTCAAAGGTTTTTGGTGCATTGGGTGAACAAATTTTGTAGAGGTCATTTTTCGATATCTTAAAAATTAAAAAAACGCTTTTAGGCAGTTTTTCAAGCATTTGACCTTAAATTTTAAATCGACCTTCTCAAGGCCATGAAAAAAAATTTAAAAATACCGTTTTGGACGTAAAATTTCCCGCTCTTTCGATGGCCGTTGTCAAAAATAGGGGTTCCCAATTGAAAAAAAAAAGTTAACCTTGAAATGACCTTGAAGGTCAAGCTCAAGGACAAAACCAAGGTCACCATTGGATTCCTTGTTCAAAGTTACTAAAGGAATGACCTTAATCTCCTCGGAAATAGTTATATCTCAGGACTTACTGGGGTGTCCCGGAACTTTTTGGACACCCTGTATAACAATTATCTTTAGTGCACGTTTTCGTCTATTTTATTTTTCAATTCAATGGGAAATGGGTGAGATTATTTTAATTTCTAAACCCGCTAAAAAACCGAACTGTAACATTTTACAGACCGATTAGTCTACTGTCGGTAATATCAAAAATTAAAAAAAAATAATTTCTGCCAGATTTAGCACAACCACTCCACAATAGAACAGGTCAATACAATAGTGTCCGTTGCAAGAAAATTTATAGAAAAGAAAGAATATGACAGCTGCATATTTCTAGACGATGCACAAGTCTTTGATAAAGTTTGACATGAAGGTCTTTTGCATAAATTAAAAGGACTTTTTCTAGAAAATCGCTAAAGAAGAATAAACGAAAG